CGGCATCAATTTATTCCCTTTAGCATGTCGTGTTTGTGAACGAAATATAAATTTAGATTTAAAACAAGATACAAATTATAGTGGAATCATTATTAGAATATATTCTGTAAATAAATCAGTTCCAGGAAAATAAAGATGAAATGTGTCGTCCCTATACATATGAACATAGCATGGAACTCGCGAAAATTTCGTATCTACTATGACGTCCGATCAACTTAAGTAGTCAGTCAAAGATCAAGCAGTCCACGTGATAATGCGAGTCGCAGCATGATGTAACAATCTGAGTTGAAGTTTTCAAAAAAAAAATCTTCCTGAGTCTCGTGTGCTCCCTATGGTACGAAAACTTTTCCTAAGAAGAATCCGGGTGATGAAAAATAAGAAAGAAAATATTTGTAATTTTGGATTTACACTTTATATGCTTTCTTATTTTCCTTTCGTTTTTCTTTGTGGATGAGTTGAATATTTTTTCAAGGCCTAAATTGTCATCCTTATTAGTGTTAGTACGAACAATCAGGTTTAGTAGGGAGAACAACGTAGTCTCGACCAGTATTACTATTCCAATGTCTTGTAGTAAATGTCTGAACGCGACTCTGTTTCGGACTGCCTTTGACTCGACTGACTGACTCCTGACGGACTTCTGACAGACCTCACTCCAGTCTTCAGACTGAACTCCCTGCTTCCTCTTGAGGCGCAGTATTTATTACGTATGGAATAGTCCATTATGTTATTATGGGTAAGGTCCCATAACACAAGGTGAATGCAATAAAGGGTTGTCTGAATGTTACCCGGATCGAAAAGCACCTAATAAAGGCCGGAGGACACAACGGCCGATCATTGTCATAACAGTAAATATTAGGATAATAATCCGAGCGTAAATAACCTAAATACGTGAACAAATTTATAAAAGAAAGTTCTAGTTACAATACGGAAGATATTGTAGATATCGTAGATATTTCTGTGGAGCATTTTATGTGTGAAATTCGGAAAATTTAACAAACAAAAAAAAAGAAAAGAAAAGAGAGAAACAGGCAGTGGATTTGCCATCTGATTCCAAGTTGAAACCTGACAAGAAAATGAAAAGAAAAACTCGGAAGACTGAAGAAATATTCTTATTATCTTTGTGGCTCCCGGTAATGAAGTTTGAAAGAAAACATTTGTTCACTGATGACAGGAGCTTGTTTTCTTTCAATTAACTATCTGGTCACCGGAAGCAGGAAATCGAATCTGCAACTGATCCCAAGAATTATTGATCGCTAGAATTCTTAATCACGTGATTAACCCGATTGTTCAATGTCCAATGGCGTATTTGTCAACGAGTAATATATCAACAAATTGGTATTAAGAATCAATTTGATCATGACGACGCCGCTATTCACAGCGGTGTTTTCATTAAAGAAAAGACCTACTCAAGAAGGCATGAATATATATATATATATATATATATATATATATATATATATATATATATATATATATATATATATATATATATATATATATATATATATATATATATATATATATATATATATGGAGGCACGGTGGAGTAATTGATAGCGGATCAGTGGAGTAATGGATAATGGAGTAATTCAGTTACATTCAGTAATGGATTTGAGGAATCGGAGAGCCTAGTTCGAATCCCAGTCGAATCCATTACATTCATTGACGTGGGAAAGGTATGAATTGTCTTCTCCCCACCTCCCATGAGTAAATAGCAGGAAAGCCTGGGTTTTATAGTCTTGGGTGGCAACCGGCCTAGGAGAAGGACAACTCTAAATTCAAAACCTGCGGAGGGTCGTTTGGGGATATATATATATATTATAATATATATATATATATTATAATTTTATCATATAGAATAAAAACAGTTTACTCACTACAAAGATGCAACTTCGTTTCAGTGCATTTCAATTGCACCTAGACAGGTGAGAACCAAAAATGGTTATGAACAATTCTGCTTGTGAGCAAGCCGTATGTGAAATGTCACTTCCTTTTTTTCCATTTGTTTGAGAAAAAAATATACATAAATCAAAAGGTTGACGGAGTGGAACATTAGTTTTTCTTGATAGCAGTTTGGTGAAGGATGGGTGAGGTGTAGAATACTGGCTAGTCTGGGAAGATTCTTTGCCGATAGCCACGGTCAAAAGTTTAGGCACATCATCTCACAAGCCTCCTGCATCGGATATATATATATATATATATATATATATATATATATATATATATATTAATTGATTTAAAACATGGTTTCTTTGCTACACAGAATTACCATGTTTCAAAAACCGAAGCTAAAATTTCAAATTTAATTATATAATTGAATTAAAAGCATTAGTTCTGTTTCATCTTCAAGCGAATTCGCAAAAATAGAACTAATAATTTTAAGATCCCGATTGATATAAACTTGTCTTTCCCCATTGAACTGTTAGAGGTCAGTCAGAGAAGAGATCAGCTGCAAGACTCTGGCCATCTACATTTTGGAGGGGCACCAAAATATCGTCCGAATATATATTCTGATATGATCTGAGAATATTTTTGATCGTTAATATAAGACAGAAAGAGGACAGAGAGAACCTTATTGAACTGCTGCATTGACCTCGTAGTATTAAGAGAACCGGTCATTAGCGACGACCTTCTTGGACTTATCTTAGAGGAAGGACTTAGAAATTGAGAAAACACTTCCAAACATGCCATAGTTGAACAGTTTGTGTAGAACCCTCCAATGCCACACCTTCTCAAAGGCCTTTGATATATCTAAGAGATATGTTTACTCTCATGTGTTCCATTGATTCTTTGCGTAATGAAAATAATGATATCAGCAGTGGACATAGAAGTGCGAAATACATATTATTCGTCGCTCAGAAGGTTGTGATGATCAAGAACATTCTTGTTGATGATTGACTCGAAATATTTGATGTCGTTAGATAGGCCCCATGCTGTTTTCCTCTATTTCTTCTGCCTTCAATATGTCATATGAGTGTCATATTCTCCAAACCCTTTTTTCATCATTGTGTGTCCTGGGAATTTTAAATGCCTTTCTCTGATTCTATGTATAAGCATCCTTTTTGTTTCAATTTTCCTTAAAAGTTCTGTGTTGTTCAAATGTTCAGTCCATGCTTTTCTCAACATACTTCTGTAGAACAACATCTCTGTTGCCTCAAGTCATCTGTGAGGAGATCGTCCAAAATTTACTCGGATGTCACTAGTGGTTGAGGGTTATGGCACAGTTTATGCGGATATGTGGGGAAGGTAACGGTGTACCCTAGACTTGAATAGGTTAATATTGTAGGGATCAGGAAAATATCCATCTGGCAACAATTCAAATGTAAGGATCGTTTTATTCAAGGAATTGATAGTGAGTTACTGTCTCAATAAGTCTTGTTAGCGAAGTGATTTCGTTATTAATGAAATTAGTATTGCTAATTAATTCTTTGTATAATTACTTTTTATGATATATATATATATATATATATATATATATATATATATATATATATATATATTAAGCATTTCACCCCAAGCAAGGCTGGAAGCCACTAGGACGCAAAGGGTTACAGAAAGTTTAGAGCAAGATCAGATAGGAGTGATAGAAGAAAGGATGAGGGTAGTGGATAGATCAAGGTAACTGGAGATCTCGACTGACATTACACTTGAATAGCTGTAGATTATAGCTCACAGGGAAACAGGAGAAGGGAAGGAAGTTCCACAGGCGAGAGGTGCGAACATGAAGCTATTAGAGTAGAAGAGACGGCTACATTTAGGAGTTTCGATAGTGAAGGGGTGAGAGCGGGATGCCAGCCTCGTAAGGCGCTGGAACTCATGACGTCTGGGAACCATCGAATGCAGCTCCTCGGAGAAATTTCCATGAAAGTATTTGTAGAACAGACAGAGGGAGGCGACGGCGCGTCTGTGAGAAAGTGACTGTAGACGAGACGCCAGGGCAGGGCCAACTACATTGCATATCCGCCTCTGGAGCCTATCAAGAACCCCGAGGCAAATAGAAGGGGCACCAGACCATATATGGCAGCAATACTCCATGTAAAGGCGAATTGTTATATATATATATATATATATATATATATATATATATATATATATATATATATATACGTTGCAGCAAGGGCTGAAACTCAGAATATGATGTTTGGAGAAGATATGGGAAAGAAGTAAAAAAAAATAAATAAAAGTAACTTAAATGTAAAAACAGGCGAGGTCACTTGATGGAAGTTTTTAATAAATTTAAAGAAATGCAGTCAGAATATTCGACGTTATCCAGTTGAATATAAATTTCTTTAGGCGGGTCAAGAACACTCTGATTATGTGACCGGGGGGGTGTAAAATTTTGCCAAAGGTAAAAAGCCAGATTTACACACCGAAGTTACTAGTGTTTTTAAACTTCACTAGGCCTTCATTTTTTTTAGCCTTGTAGCAGTTAAATCTCTGCTTTCTGAATATGACGAATCAGCAGCATTAATTCTAAATGAATCAGACGCCATAGTTGGTTCCTGCTGTCTACAGTCCGACCATATCACACCCCGAGGCTCCCATTTCATTCTACGTATTCCCAGCCCATATTTCAGTTTTGGTTTTTCCTTCGTAGACACACCATCAACACAGCAGCACATCATCACTTCGCCAGACGGACCAGATGTCAACACACATTTACTTGCGACCACTCCAATTCGTTTCGGCTAATGAAAATGTATTAGCGAATCGATTGCGTCTAGATGTAGGGGAGGTGCCTGAAGATGCTAGTGGGGCAGCTGATCTGCCCAGGAGAGCGACCGAAAGTTCGACGGTGCTCAGTGAACAGAGGAGGATCATTGAGTTTCGCCTCGCGTCACTTGCCAAGCGAGAAGTGATGTTGACGGCTCGGGGTCAGTGGTTGACGCACGGCACCCTCGGCGGTTTGTTGGTGATAGGCGAGGGTACAGATGCACGTTCCATTTGTCAGTGAACCGACACGTCGAGCTGAGGCAGTTGAAAGATCCTGTATCTTGTAGATGGCTTACAAGCTTAAAGGGACCGAACTATTTGCGTTTGGCCTCGAAATTTTTCTTCTGTACATATGCACGTCTTCACTTTTTTTTACTCGTCTATTCTCTGTCGTTTCTCCACATTTCTGCTCTCTCAGAAAATGCTTCCTCTTGACTCATGTTAGCTTTATTTCTACTCACAATTCTCCCTATCTATATATCTGTCTGTCTGTCTATCTATCTATCTCAATGAGTTTATATCTATCTATATATCTATCTCAATGTGTTCATATCTATCTATCTATCTGTTTGTCTGTCTGTCTGTCTGTCTATATATCTATCTCATTGTGTTCATATCTATCTATCTATCTATCTATCTATCTATCTATCTATCTATCTATCTATTTCAATGTGTTCATTTCTATCTTTCTCATTGTGTTCATATCTATCTATATCAATGTGTTCATATCTATCTGTCTGTCTATCTATCTATATCAAGGTGTTCATATGTATCTTTCTATCTGTCTATCGCAATGTGTTCATATCTATCTGTTTCAGTATGTATCTGACCACGGCACTTCTTGGATTCCTTTTTTTTTTCTTTCAACAATTCTTTCTTCTTATAACCTCTTTCTTCTTTGTGCTGTAATTGTTTCTATATCTATTACTATCTACTTAACTTGAAAAGGTTTAATATATACATATATATAATTAGAATTGTCATATATATATATATATATATATATATATATATATATATATATATATATTATCTATTTGGGCAGCAATCCCTCTTTTTATGGAAGTTTCATTAAAAAAGACTGTCAACGTTAAATTTTATATTTAATTCTTCATGTGTTCTTACATTTTTTCTTTTCTGGGCGTAAATTATATAGAAATTGTTCTAATGTTTTGTATATTCGAGAGCTTTCGTCTATACTTTTAGCCATTATTAAAGATGAATTTTATTTTACTTATATATATATATATATAGAGAGAGAGAGAGAGATTACATGTTCATTTTATATCAAATATAAAGAGTTCATTTTATATCAACGCATTTAAGCAGATATTTATTTTTATGCCTACATGTAACCATCTGTTCAATTCTCTTGTTTAATAAAGTGCGATTATTTAAGTGCTTTGAGATAATCAATTTTTCAACAAGATATAAGTTACGTTTTTTTCCTTTCCCGTTATAAACTCTAGCTCTTATTATAGTATTCCGATTGATTGATGGTGAGATGCCATCATTCTTTAATTACCAGAAATATTTGGAGAGATCATTTCTGTTTTTGTATTTTATATCACCGAAGTCATTGGGTAATAGTAGAAACGAAATTTCCAAGGATTTTCAGTTAAACCAAAATAAAATTTAACATCGTTACCGAAATGTATGCTCGCTTGATATGCAATATTATCAGTCAGACATTGACCGTTTAAGGGACAGATCATATTTTTTAAATACATTTGTTTAATATAATGTTGTTATGCCATGATATGGTTTTATCTATGTTATTAACCCAACTATAGGTGATTTTAATATTGTTTTTGTTAAGAATCTTTTTTAGTGTTGGTGAATGGTTAAAATGCTTATGGTTAAATTTAGGAAAATACTTCCTATATTAGTTTTAACATTACGATTAAGAGATGGATTGAACCATATAATTTTACGTTTACGGTATTTCTGTTTATTTTACATTACTTTTTTTCTAAATAATCTAAATTTACTTTATGATTGCTCAGTTCTAACACTTTTATATATTTAATTTTATTATTATCAAATATTTCCTTATTGCTGGAGTTGGTAGCATAGAGAAATAGTATAGTGAATAGAGTAGATAATAGCTATCCGTATAGTAATAGAGGATAGAATAGAAATGGCGATCCGTATAGTAATAGATGATAGAATAGAAATGGTGATCCGTATCGTAATAGAGGATAGAATAGAAATGGCGATCCGTATAGTAATAGAGGATAGAATAGAAATGGCGATCCGTATCGTAATAGAGGATAGAATAGAAATGGCGATCCGTATAGTAATAGAGGATAGAATAGAAATGGTGATCCGTATAGTAATAGAGGATAGAATAGAAATGGCGATCCGTATAGTAATAGATGATAGAATAGAAATGGTGATCCGTATAGTAATAGAGGATAGAATAGAAATGGCGATCCGTATAGTAATAGAGGATAGAATAGAAATGGTGATCCGTATCGTAATAGAGGATAGAATAGAAATGGCGATCCGTATAGTAATAGATGATAGAATAGAAATGGTGATCCGTATAGCAATAGATGAAAGAATAGAAATGGTGATCCGTATAGAAATAGATGAAAGAATAGAAAGAGTGATCAATTAGACGCCACACTAATTTCCATATATACATTTCTTTTACGATCACTTGGTCTACTTATTAGAAATGGAGTCACCTATGTTTGCTAACTGGTGATCTGTGTTCAAACTCCAGTGTCGGTAGCGACACTTTATTCCTATATAACATAAACCATAGCACATTATGCTGTCTGTTTTTATCCATCTTTTTTTAATATTTTAAATTTACTTTATGGTTGCTTAGTTCTAAAGCTTTTATATATTTCATTTTATTATTATCAAATAATTCCTTATGGCTGGAGTTGCTAGATCATCTAACTTAGACTGATTTATGCACGTTGAACTAATTATTAACGTTATGGTTAAGTAGATCTTTGGTGTACGGTTTGTAATAGCCATTATTCAAGTCCAAGGTCACATCGAAGAAGTTGATCACTTTAGAATTGGTGATAATAGTAATATTTAATTAGTGATCTTTAAAAAAATTATTAGTTCCTTTATCAGTCGGTTTTATTTTGTGGGCTTCTTTCATGGAGGAGAATTACGCCGTCACCTTTATAGAGTCCGGTGTCCTTAATGTCAAAAGTCTCGACAATAATAATATTCCAACGAATTCACATGACTCTGCTGAGTCAAATGTTCCCACTGCAATATTAAACTATGGGTTACATCTTGTAGGTCCACAGGTAACCATTATGAAATAGTATCTTTTTTTTGTTGGTGGTTTTTCCGCCTGCTTTATGATATTTATTTAGCGATCGCTAATATATAGTGGTCAATTGTTTAACAAACTCGGGATAAAATCCTACGTTTTGCGCTTTGCCGATCAAAAATTATTTCTTCAGACACCATGCATTTTAGAAAAGGGAAAAAATATCGTTTTCTACATGAAAACAATTGGAATCTGTAGACGGTTTACGAAGAGAAAGTTCACCCACGAAGCACACATTGATTATTCAGGACGTCCCACCATATATTTCCGATATATTTGATTAATATTTTGCTAGAATGCATTGAGTCTGAAAATCTCCTTTCAAAGCACGAAACACGCATATATATGCATACACACACACACACACACACACACACACACACACAGATAGATAGATAGATAGATAGATAGATAGATAGATAGATAGATAGATAGATAATAGATAATAATGGTCAATAAATATATATATATATATATATATATATGTGTGTGTGTGTGTGTGTGTGTGTGTGTTAGATAGAACTAAATGTCCGGGACAGAGCAAGAATATAATATAAAAGGCTTAAACACTAATATTCCATGGTTATAATTTATTACATTGTAATCGTATATATACCTATAGCAGTGGTACATAGCAGAGGAGACGAAGAGATTCATGGCAGGGGAGAAGAAGAGGATTCATGCCTTTCCCAAGGGTATTAGAACGCAAGTGAATGCAATGAAATCGAACTCAGTTCTCCGATTACTCAATTCAAGCCGCTATCCACCGTGCCTTCTATACGTATGCAGGGAAAAAAAAAACTTGCTTTTCGACAAATGCATCTCGAACCACACTACCTTGTCAGTCATTTTTAACAAACTTGTATGAAAGAGGGACTGCTGCCCAAATACATAAATATTAAATTACGCGACCTGGCCGCCAAAAAAAGGGAAAGCAACACTACAACTAATGAATGTCTCATGTTGAAAACAAAGTATTTAACAGGTCTAACTTGTCAATTGTCTTAACAAAACTTGTATTAAAAGAGGAATTGCTGCCCAAAAATAATATATATATATATATATATATATATATATATATATATATATATATATATATATATATGGGCGCCAGTGTGCTTATGTATTAAAATGCGCGTACAGACACAGATATATAATAGTGCCTATGCTTGTGTGATGCCGAAAATGAATTGTAGTAAAAATCAAAAGACCGAAGATTTGATTTTCTGTTTACATTCTCGGCACGAACGACCAACGCATAAGAGACTCGGTCCAGATTTGAATTCGCTTTTTCATATCCCTCTTGATATTGCACATGACGAGAATGACGAGATCTTTCGAGATTTACGCATCTGCATCGACAGCACACACACACACACACACACACACACACACACACACGCGCGCGCGCGCGCGCGAGCGCGTATACCGGGGAAAAGAGATGTTTTTCGTTGTAATAGATTTCAATGTTTTATATAAATACCACACACTTGCAAACATTAACAAGAAGCTGGACGAATATAGAAATAGAAGCACATAAACACATATACACTCATCCATAGGAAGACATTAGACGTGTTTAAATTTTCAACCGCACAATGAAACCCCCAGGAAACTATATATATATATATATATATGCGTGTGTGTGTGTGTGTGTGTGTGTGTGTGTGTATGTGTGTGTGTAGAAAAATATATAAAATAGTGCCCAGTGAGTATCGGTAGTAATAATAAAATCTTTCAGTAGCACCGAGCGGTGAGAAATAAATATATAATTATTCCAAGTATATATGGCAACAAAGATGAGGACAGTAGTCCGAACAATGTAAATAGTGCACATAATACCTAATCTCAGAAATATAGACAGATACTAAAAGAATAGCGGTATTTTTTTTTTTTACAAAATTCCCACAAATTTATTTTTTTCTTTCATCATCTCATTGGTCAAGAAAATAGAAACGTGACAATTCGAATATCTATGTTTCTAGGGCCTCTTTTGCACAAAAATTATCACTTAATTTGGAAAAATACATAAGTTTTGTTACACGGCTGAAGTCGTTGCGTCCAAGGCTTCAGAAATGGGAAAGTCATGAAACTATTTTTTCTTCTTTCGTCTACGAATTAAATAGTAGGGCAGACTAAACTCTCTAGCTTTGGTTGGAAACCAGACTAGAAGGATAACTCTGACTTCAACACCGAATGGATGTGGGGCTGGCATGTGCATCTTGTAAGAGCCTCATTGCTATAGAAACCAGAACAGCAATGCTAGTGTGGTGATGCTGTGGGCACATATAGAATAAGAACGCTTCGAGAATCATTTTTACTTTTGACACTAGAAGCTTACCTGTTTATAAATCAGTCTTTTTTAACACGCTAAAATATATCATAGACCTCTTATGATTTATGATATATTGGCCGGTGTAGAGTCATTAAACTGAGGTCGAATTTCATTGCGATATATAAGGGTTGAGTTACAAATAATTTACGTTTTGGAAAACCAACTGAAATGACGAATGTCTAATCCTAACTATAAAACATGCGTGGCAGTTAAGAACACGTTTAGAGCAAAATAACATACATTAGTTTCACACGGTAATGGCAGCGTACACAGCGGGTTAAAGGAAAAATGCTGTTCTCCTCTATGACAACATAAGGCCACATGCAAGAAGAATACACGGGAAAAATCTGAAATTCGGTTGGCTTATTCTTCCCTTCCGGCATATTCACCTGCATCAACTAATTATTACTTTTTTGATCGTTGGAAAACGATTTTATAGGGAAAACCTTTTTCCATATGGAAATAATGTAAACATTTTTTCTAATGAAAACAAGATTCAAGAGTTTATTGAAAACCTTTTCGCAACCAAATACGCAGAATTGTATTCAAAAGGTATGGGATAACTTCTAACAATTCGTAATAATATGATATAAAATGAATGACGAATATATAATTAAATAAAACATAACGATGCTTTATATTTTAAATGATAAATAAGATAACAAAAATGAATATTATTTATGACTCAACCTAAAAGAAGTTGTGTGTATTACCCCCATTTAGTTAACCAAAACGTCGCTGTTTCAGAAGTATAAAAGCTCGGCCGTAATCTTCCCCTTTCTTTCTCTTCTGTCATTATTCTAGGATGCGGTACGTAAAAGTCTACCCCGTACTTCTTTTCTAGGTGCATCTCCCACATGCACGCACTCAAGTACTCACACGCTAACACTAACCTTATCAATGTTTTCTTTTCCTTTTCAGCTGTGGATATATTGATATATTTTCTCTATTTTTTAAATCGTTATTAGTTATAGAAAAACTAAATGAAAATACCTCGCTGTTGAAATATATTCCTTTCCCCCTTCTACAACTCATCATTTACATGTGAAAATTTTCGTTACCCCTGCCTGTGGTTGAGCTCGATGTAGTAGCTGCAATATTTAGATGGTATTGGTGAAACTGGGAAGAAGAAGAAGAACCGGGTTTCAATCCCAACTGAAGAATTTTGTGTTCTTCTACATTAGTGTACTTTAGTGAAATCATGAATCAACTTCTCCCCAGACATCAGGTCAGGAATTACTCATCTTTCCTGTACCATCTAACCGGGGAGACCCTATGTTATTTGGAGAAAAGATTGTTGCCAACCAAGTGATTGCCATTGCCAGATGAAATACTATGAACTATCCGGTATGGTATCACAACTGGCTACTAGGTCATAGTTGTTTTGAATTCATAACAATTATGAAAATAATCTTGGCGTCTCTAATACAATGCCATCAAGTCGCAAACGATGAAGAACGAGAAGAAGCAATGTAGAATCGAACTTCGTCAAAAAATAAGACGCCACGAACACAACGGTGGATACTGTAAGAGGAAGTCAAAGCCGGACACAGCGTTGAAGCGCGACTGGTGATGGTGGTAGAAAAGTTTATGTTGAGCATAACGCAAGGGCGGCTTTCAAATGTGTTGCTCGCCTGGGGGTCGATTAACGGAGATTGTCAGTGTACTTCGCTGGACAAAAGAATGCTTCAGTTACTGAGGACATTCGCAGATATTCGGACCACACTCGTTGAGATGTCCGTTCGCCACAGAATATCGTTCTGTCTGGACCTGAATACGGCACGAAAAGCATCGGAAAATGGTTCGATGATGATCGACAATGGATGAATATATAGATACACACATTGATGCGAAAAGACATATCCTTTCTTTGGCATCACATGCAGACTTACATTTATCTACGTTCAAATCACAAGTCAGGAATAGATACATACACTCGGACGGACGGAAAGTGGCGCACACACACACACGCACACACACACACACACACATATATATATATATATATATATATATATATATATATATATATATATATATATATATATAATAAAGAGAAAGTACAGTAAGCTATATAATCCGTTGTTCTTATTAATTATTTTCATTTTTACAAAACAGTGCTCAATGCAAATCTAGAGAACATAAATATTATAAATTTACTAATTTAAAAATATGGTTCCATCGCTACACAGGAATTACCATGTTTCAAAAACAGAAACTAAAACCTTAAAATTCAATTACAGAATTAAATTAAAGTCCCTAGTCCTATTTTATTTTACACTAATTCCAAAATTCGCTTGAAAACGAAACAGGTCTAGGGGCTCTAATTTAATTTTATAATTGAATTTGAAATTTTCACTTTCTGTTTTTGAAATATCGTAATTCCTTTGTCGATGGAACCATATTTTAAATTAATTTATATATATATATATATATATATATATATATATATATATATATATATATATATATATATATATATATATATATATATATATATATATTGAGAGAGAGAAAAGAGAGAGAATTAATACATTCATTTTTATTACTTCAAACGTCATTATAGTGGATACTCGTACTTGAAATAGACGTCCCATACCCGAGTGGTAAAGCAAATCATATCAAATGGTGATTTATCTTACAAAGTATGGCCCGGTTTTCGATTTCTCCCAGAAGGCTCGTTTTTTATTAGGATTTCTCGAATACACAGGCCGATAGATGTAATAGAAACTGTTCATAATAAAAATAACAATACATTGTCTATTTCAAATACCTGAGAGAGAGAGAGAGAGAGAGAGAGAGAGTGTGTGTGTGTGTGTGTGTGTGTGTGTGTGTGTGTGTTCGTCTAGATATTTAATAGATTTTTATTTTTAATCCGAAATTTTTTATGATTTCAAACATTATTTTTAGCGGATACACTTGAAATAAACTTCCCGTATTTTTAATCTCGGTATAACGCCAACCGTCCTGTGCACTCGAGAAAGCTTACACATGTATTTGATTCTTCTATATGCTGTGTCCCTCCTGGTCATGGGTTTTCATGGCACTCTACGACTTCCTGTCCTTTGTAGCTCTTAGCAATATTTGTCTTTTAGCTATCTTGCTAATCCTTGTTCTGCCAACCATTTGCACATCGATAAGGCATTTACTGATTTCATCTGTCCTTCTTGCCTTCCACATGACCCGTGAGTGTTAATTTTTCCATGCCTTATTTCCTCATTATGTGCCCTAGAACTTTCAACTGTATTTTTCTGATTCTAAGTATAACCGTCTTTTTTGTGTCCATTTTTCTTAAAACTTCGTCGTCGTCACTAACATGTCCAGTCCATGGTATTCTCAGCATCTTTCTGTAGAACCACATTTATGTGTGTTTTGTTTTTTAATATTTTGTTTCAGTTTTGGAAGACAACTTTCGCTGTTCACATGCGTCTAAGGATATGTGGTTTTACAGAAGGATACTGAGAATGACATGAACGGAGCAACGAGTCACTTTTAAGGAAGATAAAAAAAAAACTTAGAATTAGAAATACAGTTGAAATTTCCAATAAAAAGGAAAGAGAGCTTGGAGAATTTGTCACTCACAGGACATAATGAAAGGAGTAGAGGCAAAGGGGAACAGCGAGTAAACTGTTTGCATAGATGGACCGCAAAACAGGGAGTATGAGCAATAATAAGGGGTCACATATTACTTAGCGATACTCAGGATGGGAAGTTATGATTATGATTGTCTACGTCCTAAATGGAAAAAGAAAAATCCGTTACGAGCTTTATCTCAGTGACACTTGAATATCGATTTCTATGTATTATATCTTCCAGCATTGCGACAGTCATACGATCATCTCACGTTCAAACACCGATTCTCCTACGATCAGCGTAGTGAAGTAACGTCAAGCCTGGTCTGCACCTGAGTCGGTGACGGCTTGGGAATTATTAGGGGCTATGAGCTTGGATGTGAGGGTGGTGTAATAGATAAATAGATCGGAATTGGAAATCGGAGAGCCGTGTTCCAATTCCAGTCGGGTTGGTTATATTCAATTACAGGCAAAGCAAATACCCCCGAGGAAGATATGAATCCACCTCTTTTCCCTCTAGCTATGGATTAATTAGTAAGAGTTGTATCAGTAAATCATTATTATTATTATAAAAATATTTTAGGACATTAAATGACCTGCAGAAGGTTGATAAGCCGTAAAAAATAAATAAACCAATCAACCAATAAGTCAATTCAGCATTATGATTTGGAACCTAGTTTTTATAGTCGCAATTCTTTCGTGTCTGAATCTAACGAATCCAGTTTTTATTACGCGTGGCAACTTATTTTCACGGATGCCTGACCAATAATGGAAAATATTGCTTGAATTTCTTTGTCGGTGTAATAATGTTTGGTGCACTTGAAATCTAGACACACCAAGTACATAACTTCCATGTCAAAGACAAGTCTTTGTTATTTGATATTTTAAACATGATACTAAGTTCCTTAATTTTAAACTTTAAAAGGAGTGGATAATCCTTTCCATTTTGCCATCCTCAAGGAATATCAATTAGACATTATCAGTCTCTCTAAAAAAAATAGCAAATTCTTCATAAAAAGATTTAAATGAAACCGATAAATTTTGTGCTGATGAGACGGAAAAGTACTAAGACTAGGAAAAAAGTCAATCAATCATGTCCTGATCCAAAAAGAAGAGGTAATGAGCAAAATTTCATAGGACAATTAACTCAGGGTGATGTGTTGTAATGGAATGCCCCACACTCCCTATCGCTTATGTGAACTGACTATATCAGTAGCTACATATAGTGGGTACAGGATATACCTGGAGGCTTGCTTCTGGAGATAGGACTCCAGCTGTGCTGGTCGAACTCTCTGCCTTCGGGTGGAGAGGCACCCAGACGAAGCTATGCGTCTGAGGTGGTAGAGAGCTACCCGACCCTGTTTATATAGGGTCTACAGGGAATTTTTGCCCGAGCCTACGGATTCGGTTTTGCTCCGAATTAAAAACGGTTTTGTGTCATATCCTGCCTCGCCGGGAGGTAAGGTAAATAACCTTGCTTCGGGAATTAGTTGGAGCTTCGTCTCCAGTTGTGCTGGTCAAACTCTCTGCGTCCGGGCAGAGAGGATCCACAGACGTGACTATGTCGAAGGGCAGAGTCTCTTCTCGGGAAAAAAGCTACCTGATTCCGTTTTAGATGGGGAATTTTTGGCCGAGCTTACAGGCTCGGATACCCCAAATTAAATTCCGCCTTGTGCCACATCTGACCGCGTGGGGTGGTTGGAAAATATTCTTCGATAATTGGTTGGAGATTCGTCTCCAGCTGTGCTTCTCGTACTCTCTGCTTTCGGACGGAGAGGACCCAGACGAGGTTATACCGAAGGGCAGAGTCTCGTCTGGGGTGGTATACGGGGTCTACGGGGAATTTTTGCTCGATCTTATGGGCTCGGATACCCCACGTTTAATTCGGCCTTGTGCCACATCTGACCGCGTGGGCGATTATTAAATATCATTGCTTTGAGAATTACTAACCTGCCAACCGATTCCCTGTCTTTCAGTAGTGTATTGTCTTTTACAATAAACCTCTCTTTCTTTCATCTATGCACGTGTTGCTGTTCCTTTACTCGAGTACCACCTTTGTCTGTTTGTAACCACTTTAAGGATACAATACTAATCTTCTTTGGGAATTTTCAAATTTCCTGACTAATTCTCCCTTATTAAAATGTAAAAGGGCGTCCCAGAATTTTAATTATTCTACAAGTGCGCCCTGAAGTAAAAAAAAAAGTTGAAAAACACTTTTCTGGAGAATTGCCTAGAGATAATTATTTCTTTTATATTATCTATACTTTTAGGGCGTAAGAAATCATGTCACACGTAAACTTCTTGTTGTTCCAAGTAATTTTTTTACGTATTACCATCGCTCTTTCTTTGTGTCTAGTTCAGCCATCCAATCAAAATCACTTTTTTTCTCTGCTTCTCTTAAATTTCGATACGTCTTGCAAGTGTTTCATTCTATTTAGGGTTGCTAGATATTTCACTTGTCTTTCTTATTGTAATTATAACTTTCCTTGCAGTTCCTATTTTCCTTAAAATCTTCTACGTGACTCATATGCAGGGCAGTTAAATTCTTTGATGGCACTTGCATGAATTTAGTAACAGAAGCAGAAGTCATAAAAGAAGAGATTCAGTTGAGAAAAAAATGGTACGAATATTCTTGACGCATCATCTTAATAAATCCGCCGTTAGCAACGATTACTGCTTAAAATACAAGATCCTAAAAGTCGGCATCCCCGAATCAGATGATCTATATTTATTCTGGATATTGTGCTAGTTATGACGGTTATTTTATAGTGTTAAGGTGACATTGATTGATTTCCCTCTCAACTACGCCCCATACATCATAGTCCAACTAGGGTGCCATCTTTGGGGTGCTGTTATGGTGGAGATTATAACTCACCCATTCTTGGGTCGTCTAGGCCTTATGGTACGGTACAGAGTCTTTTTTTTAGTAGTGCGTTCTTCCTTTGCTCATGC